AGGACATTCCAGGCATGGGGGACACATGCAAAAGTTACAGAGGCGGGAGATCGAATGTCATATACCTCAAGCGGGCCAATTTGGCTAGAATTGGAAGAGTGGGAGGTAGGTAATGGGAAATCAGACTGATTTCCCATTTCACATTTCTGAAATACTCAAACCATCGCCAATGCCTTAGCGTTAAGCCAAAAGCAGAGCTGTCTTTGCTCTGCCTGAAACTCCATATGGTCATTTTTAGATTGTGTTAACTCATCTCCCCATGGTGTCCAAGTTCTCCCACCCCCAGATGATACACTTGGTGTCAGCAGGCTTCTGTGAATTGTGTGCACTCTTCGCTGCTTTCCCATTCTTCTTTATGGTGTTAAAAAAAATTGGATTCCAGTGAACTGCCTGGCTTCCTAGGTCCTGTTCTGTGCTCCGTCTTTCCATCAGGCAATTATTATTCTCCCTTCCCATCCCAGTGATCATAGCTGAAGCTGGGCACCGCTGGGAAATGGGTTTCCCTCATCAGAAGCTGGGGCAAACAGCTATTTTCTTCTCTTGACTAGGCTATGTTCAACCTCAAAATCCCCAGGGGAAGGTTTCCACTGCCTTTAAAAAGAGCCCCTCCCTCCTTTTATATACTCTAGATTACAGGCTTGCAATGTTTGAATTCTGTTCTATAATTTCCTTAAGAGCCACTAAAAATGCCCAACTTTGTGCTCTGACAAACTTTTCCAAGGACAGCCTTCTGCCACAAAGAAGGCATTCTTGCTTCCCTCTAAGCAATTCTGACATTTCAAGAGATTTCACACTCCTGGAGGCTGAGCAATTCAATGCAATCCAGTATTAATAAATTAATCACTTTGTATTAATTAATAAAAATAATAACTATGAAGCACCTACTATAGGCTAGAGATACAAAACCCAACCTGCCCTAAGCCAAATTATTAACCTATTAATTGTCAGAAATGACAAATTCCCACAGCCCTCTCTCAAGCAAGAGGACTCCTTCAGTTCAGAGGCAATGCTTCTAAACCACATCCTGATGAAAAAGCTGTAATGGCTGCATTTTACCTTTTATACTTTCCTCACCTGTTTTACATCCTTTCAAAATTATCAGGAATAGTTGGGCTTCCTCCTATTTCTTTGGCTTATATTCTGAATTACAGATTTAGAGCTAAGAGGAACCTTAGATATCAGCTAGTCTAACCCTTCATGTTACAGAGGAGGAAACATGAGGCCCAGAGAGGTGACTTGCACAAGGCTTCCCAGAAAGCAAGTGGCAGACTGGAATTTGAGCCCATGTCCTCTGATGAAATCCCATGCTTTCACTATGACTCCAGGGTAGGGCTGCATAATTATAATGTCCCAGAGAAAAGTTGAGAAAATACTTCCTTTTTCTTAAGAAGTGGAGGACTGTGGGTGTGGAATATTGCCTTTACTGATAAATGTGGTTGTTGCGTTGGTTGATTTTGTTAAGTTGTATAATTCTATTTTTTTCAATTTTATTACAGAGCATGGTTCACTGGGTAGGAGAAGGGAAAGGATATCTTCAAAAATGAATGTGATGTAAAAAGAAAAAGTGTAAATAAAAATAAGATTTTTTTTTAAAAAAGGCATTGGGCTTAGTATAAACATTTCATTAATCAATAAACATTAAGCACCTACTATGTGCCAGGAACTCTACTAAGCACTGGGGATAAAGAAGGAGACAAAAGAAAGTCCCAACCTATGATGAGTTTACAATCCAAATTGCTAACAGGTAAAAAAAAGTGGGTGCCCCTCAATTGGGGAATGCCTGAATAGGCTGTGGCAAATGAATGGGGTGAGATACAATGATGTCATTAGAAAGGATGACTATAAGGAGTTCAGAGAAACATGGGAAGACTTTTAGGAACAGACACTGAGAGAAATAGAAAGAAGTTGAGAAAGTGACATACAATGACTCCAATCATGTAAGCGAGAAGAACGCTAAGGATGCTGAACTCTGAGTAACCAGCATGACCAGTTTTGGAATTAGAGACCATGTAATGAAACATGGCACCCTCCTTAAGCAGAGTTGGCACCCCATAGGGGCAGAGTATTGCCAACAATGCCATCCATGTTTGTTGTATTGGTTTTCGTTTAACTATTCATCTCAAAGTGAGATGTATTTATCATTCTTTTTGGTGAGCAGTTTGGATTAAATGCTAAATAAAGTAATAACAATTACCATTTTAAATAGTGCTTTAGGATTTTCAAAGTACTATATAAATATGATCTCATTTTATCTTCTCAACAACTTTGGGAAATAGGTTCTGTTAGGATTCCCATTTTACAGATGAGAAAACAAAAGCTAATAGAAGTTAAGTGACTTGCCCAGGGTCACACAGCTAATAAGAGTCTGAAGCAGGATTCAAATTCAGGTCTTCCTGACTCCAAAGCCAGAATTCTATCCGCTTTGATAACTCATTGCCAAATTCTATTATTTTTTTGTTAAAAGGGAGTGTTCAACCATTGGGTAGAGGTGGGAGAGATTATCTAGAGGTAACTGTGATGCAAGAACATATAGCATCAATAAACTTTGTGGGTTTTTTAAAAAAATAAAACATTCTTAGGCTATCACCTATCAAAAAATAAGCATTTATTCTGCATGTACTCTGTGCCAGGCTCTGTCATGCTAACATGTTTATTTTTTATCAAATACAAATACATGCATGCACAGACATATATATACACACATGCACCATTTTATGACATTACCAAGTAAGGTAGTAAGAAACTCTATTTTTAATGAAAATATTAAGAACAAGAGTCACAAAACTATTGAAAATGAATACTGCAAGAATTGTAAGGAGCAAGTTTGGTCCCAAAGAAGAAATAGGAGACGAAATGTGGGGGAAGATCTATAGATATGGAATATTTCAGAGAATATCAGATTTTTTTCAATGTATTGTTGAGTTTTGCTTAATTTTTTTTCTCTTACAAAAATTCTCTTCAGGGAATGGATAAAGAGAAGGATAGAAAGATAGATGTAAAGGCCAGATATATCAATAAAATCTATTTTTAAAAAGGATTAGTTCTCCATATACCCACACAACCAATTCCATGGTCTTCCTCACTCACTGAGAGGTCATGAATAGACCAGAATGCAACACATAGCACTGTAGCAAATCATTTATCACTCAAACATTTTTAAACATAGAAGTGGATAATTCTAGCTGTTCATTTCTGTTCTTTCCAGCCAAAACAAATTTCTTTACCTTGCCAGAGGCAATAAGACAAGATAATTAAAAATCAAACAGTTTTATCTCCCCAAAGGTCCATTCATGATCATTTCAAGTAACATTTACGGGAGCAGCATGATCATATTAGGAAGCCTCGCTCTTTTCACAAAGGTTTTTCTGCTCAGTAGTGAAACCCTGTGACCAGCCCAATGGCCACCACAAACTGAGCATCACTTTACTTGAGGGCAAAGATAAAGCCATTCAGATGGGGCTGATAATAACAAGATGGTGCTTATTTTCGCTAGCCCCACTATCATCCTAGAAACTCTCCCTATTTTCCCACAGAGAACTGTGATATTCTAAAATGCAAAAACAAATCAGAGTGACAACATGGTAGACACTGCAAAAACAAATGAGAAGATATTATTTTGCAGGTGTTGCAAAAACAAACCAAATCATAGTAACATGGTGGGAGTCCCAGAAATGTGCCAAAGGGTACTAATATTTCAGGTGTGGCAAAAAAGTCAAAGTGGTAGTGATGTGGAGGGTATCACAAAAAAAAAAACAAAGAGTTTGGCATCACAATGACAAGAGGGTAGGCACTGCCAAAACAAACCAAAGGGACTCAATATGGTGGGTATTGCCAAAACAAACTAAAAGGTATTAACATTTCATGGTTAAACAATGTTTAGTAACATGGTGGCCATCCCAAAAACAAACCAATATATTAATACCATGGGCAACATAAAAGCAAGCCAAATTGTAACAATATGGCAAACATTGCAAAAACAAACTTCAGGGTATTAATACTTCAGGCTTCACAAAAAAGAAACTAGAGGACAATAATATGGTGGGCATCCCCATGACAACTCAAACACTGACAACATGATGGACATTGCAAAAATAAATCAAAGGCTATTAATACTGTAGGCATTGCAAAGCAAACCCAAAGCAACAATATTGCAGGCATTATAAAAACCAACCAAAGGGTATTAATACTTTGGGAACTGAAAAAACAAACCAATCCTCAAAATAAACCACAGGGTGACAACATGGTGAACATTGTAAAAAAAAAAAAAAACCAATAACCAAATAGTATTAATACTTTGGGAATTACAAAAAACAAACTAATCCTCAAAACAAACCACCAAGCTAAAGGGTGACAATATGGTGGACATTGTAAAAACAAACAAACAAACAAACAAACAAAACCAAAAAAAACCCAAAAGGGTATTAATACTTCAGGAACTACAAAAACAAACCTATCCTCAAAACAAACCACAGGGTGACAACATAGCAGACATTGTGAAAAACCAACCAAACAGTATTAATGCTTTGGGAATTATGAAAACAAACCAACCCTCAAAACAAACCACCAAACCAAAGGGTAACAACATGGTGGACATTGTTTTAAAAAAAAAAAAAACAACCAAAGGGTATTAATACTTCTGAAACTGCAGAAACAAACTTACCCTCAAAACACACCACAGGGTGACAACACAGTGGACATTGTTAAAAAAAAACCAGCTAAACAGTATTAATACTTTGGGAATTACAAAAACAAACCAAACTAAAGGGTGACAACATGGTGGACATTGTTAAACAAAAAAACAAACAAGGGGTATTAATACTTTGGAAATTGCAAAAACAAACCAAACTAAAGGGTGACAACATGGCAGGCATAAAAAACAAAACAACCAAACGGTATTAATACTTTTGAGTATTGGGGGGAAAAAAACACACAAATAAACAAAGCAATTCTTGAAACAAACCAAAAGATGATAGCACAATGGATACTGTGATAAAACTCACCAGGGTGTGTGTGAGCCGGATAGTGATCAGAGGTGATCCTGACAAGTTCTGGGACAGTACTGGTGGTGGTTCTACCTTCAGAGAAATAAGGTAACTGGTAGCTAGTATCAAGTGCTTTTTGTAGTTGACTGCTTCAACAATCCTTGGAAGTAAATGGAAACAAATGGAAAATCATTACAAACTGGTCAAAGGGAAGGAGTGAAAAAGAAGCAGGTAACTGGAAACCACTTTGAACATTCACTTTAGATTTCAGTTGCATCTAGGGAGCACCAGGGTAAGCTTAGGTGAGCTCCTTTCCCTCTGTGAACTTCAGGGTTCTCATCCATGAAATAAAAAGGTTAAACTAAATGGTCCCTTTGAGCTCTTCCAGCTCTAGATCTAAGATCATGTGAATGATTTTATATTTTTTACACTGAGCTTTGCAATTTTCAAACAAAATGCGTCTCCACCAAAGACTTAAATTCCTAAATGAATATGGAATGTAGGCTCATTGAGGGCAGGAACTAATTTTGTTTTATCCATAGCACCTATCTAGTATAGTCACTGAAACTAGTAGATTCTTGACAATCAATAAGTCTGATAGAATGTAAGCTTGTTGAGATCAAAAACTGTTTCTTTTCTTTTTCTTTCTTTCTTTCTTTCTTTCTTCCTTCCTTCCATCCTTCCTTCCTTCCTTCCTTCCTTCCTTCCTTCCTTCCTTCCTTCCTTCCATTCTCTTTGTTTCTCTCTTTTTGTCTTTGTAACTCCAGGGTCTGGCATAAATGGTAGGTACCTAATAAATGGGCAGCTGGGTGGCACAGTAGATAGAACACCAAGGCTGGTGTCAGGAAGACTTATCTTTCTGAGTTCAAATCTAGCCTCAGACATTTACTTGCTGTGTGACCCTGGGCAAGTCACTTTACCCTGTTTGCCTCAATTTACTCATCTGTAAAATGAACTTGAGAAGGAAATGGCAAACCAATCCAGTATTTCTGCCAAGAAAACCCTAAATGGGGTCACAAAGAATCAGACTCAACTGAAAAAATGACTAAACAACAATAAAAACAAACTTAACAAATGTTTGTTGATTGAATGAATGAATCAATCCAGTGTTTATTAAATACCTGCTATGTGCCAGGCACTGTGCTGGGTATTGGGAATACAAAATTGAAACAGTCCCCGCCATCAATAAGCTTACATTCTATTGGAGTTATGTTTTATCTTTCTTATAAAAACAAATGTTTATTTAGTTGAATGAAATTGAATGAAACCACTAACCCAAAAGAAACTAAGCTTGATCAACATTAATCCTCACTCTACTGAGGGGAGGAGAAATTGTATTGATGGATAAGCTACATTAACTACATGCACCTGAATGATGGTCAAATACCCGCAATCTCAGCTGAATAAGATAGATGGCCCAATGGGTAGAGCACTGAACCTGGAGTCAGGAAGAACTGAATTCAATCAAACCCACTTCTCAGACACTTAGCACCCTCCTGCCCTGGGTTGTGTGAAGATCAAATGAGATAATACAGTGCCTGGGACATAATAGGTGCTTTTTGTTGCTCACTCATTTCAGTCATATCCAACTCTTCCTGATCCCATTGGGGGTTTTCTTGGCAAAGACACTGGAGTGGTTTGCCATTTCCTTCTCCAGCTCATTTTACAGATGAGGAAACTGAAGGAAACAGGGTGAAGTGACTTGCCCAGGATCTCACAGCTAATAAGTGTCTGAGGTCAGATTTGAACTCAGGAAGATGAGTCTTCCCTGCTCTGGGTCTGGTGCTCCATCCACTGCACCACCATTCTAGGGGCTTGATAAATGCTTCTTCCTTTCTTCAATTTAAAATTTGCAAAGCACTTAGTATAATAATAATAATAGCTCGCATTTATATAGCACTTGCCATATGCCAGGCGTTGTTCTAAGCACTTTACAATTACGATCTCATTTGATCCCCACAACAGTCCTGGGAGGAAGTTTCTATTATTATCTCCACTTTATAGTTGAGAAAACTGAGAGATTAGGTGGTATGGCCAGGGTCACCCAGTAGGATTTGAACTCAAGTGTTCCTAACCCAAATCCCACATTCTATCCACCTAGCTGTCTCCCTTGCTATGTTTGATCCCTCCAGCTCTCTTCCAGATGCATCACTGCCCTACATTTAGCCTCAGATTCTCCCTAGGTCCCTCACTTGAGATGTCTTGTGCAAGAATATCACAGCAGATGTTATTAAGCCATCACCAGGATCTTCCCGTGTACTCAGCTTCATAGGTATTCAATCCCTGCTGACCCAAGGAGTATTGAGTCACTCATCCCATGGGGTATCAGCTTCCATTTTCACATTTCCCAGTTGTTTAATTGATACGGTGCTCTGTGTTTTCAGGCTGCATTGAACCATAGGAATCATACTGGATTTGGACTGAGAGCTGGGATCAAATCTCATCTCTGCCACTTCTACCCATGTGACCTTGAGTAAACTGCTTATAACCCCTCTGGGCACTCAGTTTCCTCACTTAGAAAATGACAGTATAGGTTAGAGATTATGAATCCTTCCTCCTCGTTGGCAATCTGAGGTCCCGAGCACATACAGTTGATTGGTCTCCCAGGGTTCCATCTCCAAGTGAAAGGGACCACTCAGTGATACTTTTCCCTGTGTCTCCTTCCCAGAAATGCTATAGCCCCATCTCCCTAATCTAGGCATTTCTTGCATTTCTTCATTCCAACCTTTCTTGACCAGATTCAACATATCTTTCTAGGTTGATCACACACTGTGAAGTGCTTAGCACAGTGCCTGGCACATCAGTGTTTGTTCCCTTTCATTCCCTTCTCTTCTTCCCGTTCATACACTCTTTTGTTGTTGTTCGGTCATTTTTCAGTAGTATCCGGCTCTTCGTGACTCCGTTTGGGGTTTTCTTGGCAAAGATACTGGAGTAGTTTGCCATTTTGTTCTCCAGTTCATTTTATAGATGAGGAAACTGAAGCAAACAGGGTTAAGTGACTTGCCCGGGGTCACATAACTAGTAATTATCTGAGGCTGGATTCGAATTCAGGTCTTCCTGACTCTATTCACTGTGACCCCTATCTAACCATACTTCTTCTGCTTGGCCCTTATATAGAACTATCATTGTGATGTTTCCTGGGCCCCTAGCAACTATGAGTACCCTATTTTTAATCCCCAAATGGGTTTGCCCAACATATGGGTACGTGCATACATTTCACTTTATATAGTCCTGGAATCTAGCCCATGATGTACATGTGCCCCACACCCGTCCTCCCCATCCTTCACATAAAGCAGTCACTTGTGTTTGTTTCCTTAAGAAGGAGCAGGCCTGAGAAGCACGCTGGAGTTTCCCCGGAGTTGTAAATATGAAACATTCTCAATAAAAAACTCCATAAAGGAAAAACACCCTCTCATCATTTATTGCGCCGGGAAGATGCCTTTGATGAAACATTGCCAAGCACAGGGGGGCTTCAAGGGCAGTGGTGTACATCTTTAGACAATCATTACCCAGAATAGTGTCAAAGCCCCAAAAGGCTGAAGGACAATTGAGGGCCACTTTGTTCCAGATGAATGACATTCCATTGCAGTGCTATTAAGCCATTTCTGAAGCCTAAGATCCTTTAGAAAAATACATAAAACAATAAGAATCTATAAAAACAAAGAACAGAAGAGGATGGAGCTAGGAAATGGGCCAGTGATATTGTTGGTATAGGGAACTCCCAGGGGAGGAAATACTCTCTACTAATGCAGGTTAGGGCCTTCTCTGAAATGTATAGTCTTAAAGAACTACCTGGGCACTGAGATGTTTAAGTGACACAGCCAGCATGGATCAGAGGCAGTTCTTGAATTGTAAAGCCAGCTTTCTAGCCACTGAGAAAGAAAACCTATCTTAGCCTTTGATTGACGCCGTGAGAAGCTAACCTCAGATCTCTGATCTCTGGACAAAGATGTCGGCTTCCAACATTATCCAGAGGATTCTCAGCTAAGTGTGTGTTGGCCCAAATGACCTCAGAGCTCCCTTCCAGCTGTTAGACTGTCATTTTTATAATTAGTGTTGAAGGAACTGGTGGGTGTTTAGCCTGGAGAAGAGGAATTGTAGCTACCCATCTAAGCTTAGGCAAGCCCTTTGGAATAGCTGAGCCTTAGTTTCCTTGATTGTAAAATGAAGACAACTAGACAAGATGGCTTCTAAAATCCCTTCCAGCTCTAAATCTATAAAGCTAAGACTTAGGAAGAGCAGGAGAACAATCTTTAAGCATTCACAGCCAAGAAAACCAGGACTCAGGAATGCCAATTAATTTGTGTAAGTCACAGAAGAAGCAAACAGCAGAGGTAGAATTTCTCTCCTCTAGGGCCAAATACCCCCAGTGCCATCAGTGGAGGTATTCAAGCAAAGGCTGGCTGATCACTCGTCAGAGGATGTCACAGAGTGGGGTTTGTCCAAGCCTCGGCAGAACTTGACGGCCTCTGGGGTCTCCTACAATTCTGAGGTCCTATGATTCTGTCTTTGGCTCCTTGGGGCCACTGGAGTTATTGAAGGGAATGACACAGAAAGCAGCTCACTGACTATGTTATGGGCCCAGAGCTCTAAAACGTGTTTTTATAGCTCAGTGAAATTAGAATTAGATGACATATGATGTGAAATAGACCTGTTTGCTCAAATCAGGTGAATTGCACTTTTTTAGGTAGACAAGACATTTTCAAAATACTGCTTTGGACTCTTTTTTATTTTGAGGATGAGCTGAAGCTTCAGAACGGATTTTGCTGGCCGTACCCTCCCCATCATAAATCTCTCAATCTCCCAGCGTAGTGCCTGGAACCAATTAGGTAGTTAATAAATGTCTGTTGATTGATTGATTCCCACAAGAGTTAGGGACCACCTACCAAAGTGTTCCGGGAAAGCCTTTTCTGCTCCCCACCCCACATGCCTTTTTTCAACCTCTCTCTGCTCCCCGAAATCCCACAGATGGGATTTCATTTCTTTGGCACAGGGTTGTTCAAAGAAGCAGGGCTTTCGGAATAGAGTTTTGAATAGGGGGTTAGACACAAAGATTTGATGTTCACTTGGTCCTCTTCAAGAATGAAGGACAAACAACAACAAATGAGGTTCGTTAGTGATGTGGTCCTCAGTAAATGACTTAACCTCTCAGCATTTATT